GGAAAAGCGCTCCATCCCCTGTTTAGTCATTAGAAGCCCAGTCAGTGGATCAGACTGACCTGAACACTGGGTCTAGTTAAAATGCTCAGACCCCGCAAGTAGGGACTTCCCTGGTGACTCAAATGGTAAAGAATCTGCCTGCAATACAGGAGACCCAGGTTCGACTCCTGGGTCAGGAAGATCCCCTGGAGAAGGAAATGGCAACCCACTCCAGCATTCTTGCCTGGAGAATCCCATGGACAGAGGAGCCTGGCAGCCTGCAGTCCATGGGGTCACAAAGCGTCGGATATGACTGAACAATGAACACTTTCACTGCCTTTCCACAAGGAGGCTTGGGTCAGGTCCTCCCTTGCTCATCCTTCCATTGATGAGCACCTTAGCAGCATCTTTTGATGGAACAATCATGACTCTCACAAGCAGAGCTACACAGCCCGTCAGAGGCAGAGACCATCCTCATTTCTGAGCCGCCCCCAGGGCCCCAGTTTCTTGAGTGTCCACCTTGCCTGCACAATCACATAAACACAGCGGGGGCAGAGAGTTAAAGGCAGCAGTTCCTACTCTGCTTTCTTCTGCTGTCATAAATCTCTGCAGACTTAAGAAGCAAACAGAAATAGCCCCAGCTCAGAGATCCTCTGCCAAATTCAGCAGCAAGATATTTGGGGATTGTTGACCTGAGATTTTCCCGTCTGTCTGTCCTTGGTCCCCAATCCCTGGCTCCTTTCCAGAAAGTGACGCCTCTTTGCTTCTCGCCCACTTGGACCAGTGGGGAATTTCTCCTGAGTGGTGGCCTTTGCCATTGGGTCATTACTGGGCAAGCGGCCCTTCGACTTTGTCAATCAAGAGATCAATTCCCCTTTATTATCGTAACTTCCATTTCCAGTTGGGCCCTTGGCTCTCCTGCACGTCTTCTCGTTCAGAGTCCCCTCGTCTCTGAGAACTCATTCCTGCCACGGCTTTAACCACCACCACTGAACTCGTGACAGAGGGATGAGGCTATTTCAGCGAGCCCAGCACACAGTAGGCTGCTTAGTAAAAGTTCACTACCGACGCCTCCCACTGGCACTTAGCAAAACCACCTCTAGGAAGGAACCCTTTCTCTATTGTTTTCTCTCTGCTCTCTCCTGCTGGCTAGGTGTTAATTTCCACTTGGCCTCAGTTTCTTTATTTGTAAGATGTGGAATTTCCATCTTGCTGGATACACATTAAATGGTCTCACTAAGATGCTCTAAAGAGGGAGAGGACAGATGCACACCTGGCGTGGGACTCACTCCCCACCCCTCTCTACGGACTAAAATACTTCCCAGTCTTTGAGCTCCCACGTGGGGGGTGGGAGACTGTCCACTTGGTGCTCCCTCTGGTCTTTTCTCTCCTCTTTATTTTTAAAGCCCTTACAGTCAGACGCACACAATTCAAAGCTTCGAACTCATCCACTTTGTTTCCTCTCCTGAAACAAAGAGCATACTCATCTCTCTCCTCCTGAAAAGAGAAGGGGGGAGTGGCATAAAGGCTATGTCTGTATTATAAATATCTTTTCCCCATTCTCTTTAAAATGTCTGGTTCTAGGCTGCTGACATGTTCAAAAGAAGCAGACTGACTGGTTGATAAAAGAATTTCCATCCCAAGAAATTTTACGCTATTATTTTTTCTAGTTGATTACACACAACATTGTGTAACAAATAATATCCATGGATCAGAAAAGAAGAAAAGTCACTCTGCATTCCACTCCTGTTGCATCTTAGTGGGTGGATCTTTTTCCCTTTCATTTTATGTCCTTACACGCCAAGGATTTATACAAAGCTGTGATCACAGTGTAGCTGGAATTTGGCATACTGCTTTTTTCCCTCAATATGCTACTATGGATATTTTTTCATTTTCTGACAGAGTCTTCATAACTAGCATTTTTTTTTTTTAGGGGCTGCATAATACTCAAGTGTGTGGGTGTAGTGTAATCTACTGAGCCATTTCCCTTCTGTTGCTGATGGGGGCTGTTCTGGATTTTCGCTATTACAGACGATGCTGTAATTCACCCTGTTGGTCCATCCTGGGCGCCTACAGTGAGGCAGAAGCAGCGCTTGGCTCTGCAAACAGGCAACATGGACCTGTGGCTTTTATCTTCTTTTGGATTATTTCCTGAGGGTAGGATTCATGGGACAGAGAGTATAAATATACCTGTGACTTCTCAAGTCATTTTTAGGCTAATCCTAGGACCTCTACTTAAAAACTCAAGGAAGTGTTGGAGGTCATGTTTGCAGGATGGTGGTCGGATGAGATGACTCTCAGATGCTGTTATCTTCTGATTTTCTGACATCAGCAGAAATCGTCGATTCTGGGCTAACGGGAGCAGGTCAAGTGCAGTGAGGGGATGAGGGGATGGTGCAGCTCCTGGGGTGTGGGGACCACGGAGGCTCCCTGGTATGGACTGTCTGTCACCTCTTCAGAAGAGCTGCCATCCCCTGCTTCTCTCCTGCTCCCACCTCCCAAATCCTCTGACCACATCCTCCAGCCACTGGTCTCCTTGCAGATTCTGGAACTGACCAAGTCTTTCCCGACCCTGGGCCTTAGCACATGCCATTCCCCTTGGTCAGAAATGCTCTTCCATCTCATCCCTCAGTTCTCAGTCCGAATCTCACCCTTCGATGGATGACATGTCTGATTTCCCCATGTGCCTGTGCTTATTTCACTAGCACCTTGCATTTCTCCACCGGAGTGCACACCAAAAGTGCAAAGCAATGAACCTTTCAATATCTTTTGTCCTGTCTTCCCCACTGAGACTCTCAGCTCCATGAAGACAGTGATTCTCAAGGTGGTTTCTGCTGGACCTGCTGCCCTAGCAGAGTACCCGGCCCACCACAGATACTTGGTACTGACTAAGCTGGTCAGGGCAGGAACAGAGGAGAGGATGCTTGCAAAAATATCGCTTCAGAGGATGAAAGAAAAGAGGACGGGGGGATCAGATCACAGCTTGAAAGATGCAAGTTAAAGGAAGGAAGAAGCTTCCGTTGTGGCTACTCAGTAAACAATCCGCCTGCCAAAGCAGGAGACTCAGGTTCAACTCCTGGTCCGAGAAGATCCTAGATGCCACAGAGCAACTAAGCCCATGCCCACAGCCACTGTGCCTGAGTGCTGCAACTCCTGAAGCCTGTGCCCCCAAAGCCTGTGCCCCACAACAAGAGAAGCCAACACGAGACGCCCCAGCACCACAACCAGAGAGTCACTCCCACTCGCTGCAGCTAGAGAAAGCCTGCGAGCAGCATCATCAAAGGCCCAGCGAGCCAAAGAAAAAAGAATAAAGAACCACCTGAGGTGTACAAAAGCAGGCAAAAGTATATTCTGAAAGTCTTTCAGACTACTATACATAAAATAGATAAGCAACAAGGATTCACTGTATAGCACAGGGAATTCTATTCAATATCCTGTAAAACTATACTGGAAAATATAATCATCTATACTTAAATTTTTTACAAAATGCCTGCGATCTCTGGACATCTGAGAAATGGATGGTGAAGTTCTAATATCTAGCTTTAAAGCTCTCTTTTCACACCTCATGGGAAATACTGGGGCAACCTTAAATAGCATGTAGATCTCCCCATTCAAAAATCTAACAACAAATGGGAGAATTCAGACCATCATAGGCTTTCTTTTCCAAGAAACTTTCCAAGTTTCACCTAATCTGCTCCAAATCTATCACTTCAAGCAACCAGATCTCCCGTCTTGCAGCCCTTCAATTTTTCATCTTAATCAGGGATGTGGAGAAAATGGTTTCTTTGTTATGATGCTAGCTGGACAACCTAATCCTGTGTAGCTTACAGTTTTGTGCTGGAAACTGAAAATACATAAACAATGGCTCTGGGATGTGGCTGAATCCTCCCAGGGGCTGTGGGTAGAGCAGGGCCTGGGAATCAGCCTTGAATGCTGAGAATCAGCAGGGCGGAGACCCACAGATCATCTGCAAGTGTGGCGGCAGCTGGGTGTGCCATCTGATTCCCTGTGGTGGCATGCACATGGCCATGATCAATAGCTTCAGGGTCACAGGAGGAATACGGATCCGATTATAAACCAAAGTCTCCCCGTGGAGACCGCAACAGCCAGCAGACTGACACCTCTGCCGTCAGGCTCCCGTCTCCCATTCATTCTCCCTGCAGCACCAATGACTGTTCCAAACCCGTGTCCCATTTGTCAACACCGTGGTCCTTTGGTGGCTCTCAGTCACACCCAGGTTGGAGTCCACGCTCCCTGGGGCTGTTATGTGAATGAGTGAGAAATAAACTTCTCTGTGTTACGGTAGTGTTGCAGCAGCTCTTACAATTCAGCTTGGTGAGTTACTTAACTTCTCAGATCCTTGGGTTTATCCTCTCCAAAATGGGGATAATAATAAGGCTGTTGAGAGGATTAGATGAGCAAATTCCATGTGAAATAGCCCAGAGCTGGTAATATGCATGTTCATCATTATGGCATTATGACTCTGAGAAAGAGTGTGTGCGTGCTCAGCTGCTGAGTCGTGTCTGACTCTGCGACCCCACGGGCTGTAGCCTGCCAGGCTCCTCTGTCCATGGGATTTCCCAGGCAAGAACACTGGGATAGGTTGCTGCTTCCTTCTCTGGAGGATCTTCCCAACCTAGGGATCAGCCGGAGTTTCCTGCGCTGGCAGGCAGGTTCTTTACCACTGAGCTGATGACTGTTATTAGCCCTCCCCTAAACGATGCTCCTGTTCTTTAAGAGGGGGCTTCCCTGACAGCTCAGTTAGTAAAGAATCCACCAGCAATGCAGGAGACCCCGGTCTGATTCCTGGGTCGGGAAGATCCCCTGGAGGAGGGATAGGCTACCCCCTGCAGTATTCTTGGGCCTTCCTGGGGGCTCAGCTGGTAAAGAATCTGCCTGCAGTACGGGAGACCTGGGCCTAGACAGTACATGGGGTCGCAAAGAGTCAGACACGACTGAGAGAAATTCTCTAAGAGAGAAGCGCAAGGGCCATCCCGGTGCCTTTAGAACAAGCATCTTACCGCTTCACGTCCTGCACATAGTCTGCATTTCTGTCCAAGAGGTGGGTCACGGAGTCCTTGATGGCTTCATGCTTGAAAGTAGAAGCCGTTCCAAAGACAGTCACACTGGGGACAGTGGAGCACAGCTGAGCCACGGCTTGGCCCTAGAAGTGAAATATCACAGACAAGTCACACAGGAGAGCCACCACCCAACAGCTAGTCTTTCTGGGTGAAAAGCAGGATTTCTCAGCCTTGGCACTATTGACCTTTTTTTGGCTGGATTGGTCTTCGTTGCAGGGGGCTGAACTGTGCATTGTGAGATGTTTAGCAGGGTCCCTGGCCTCCACCTACTCAGTACCAGCAGCAAGCCCCCAGCTGTGACACCCAAAAATATCTCCAGTCAACATCGCTCACTACTAGAGGGATGCAAATCACAACTACAGTGAGATACCACCTCATACTGGTCAAAACAGCCATCATCAAAAAATGCACAAACAAAAAATTCCGGAGAGGGTGTAGAGAAAAGGGAACCCTCTTGCACTGTTGGTGGGAATGTAAATTGAAACAGCCACTATGGAGATACCTTTAAAAAAACTAGGAATAAAACTACCATAGGACCCAGCAAGTCCTACTACTGGGCATATACCCTGAGGAAACCAAACTGAAAAAGACACAGATACCCCACTGTTCATTGCAGCACTATTTACAATAGCTAGGACATGGAAGCATCCTAGATGTCTATCAACATATGAATGGATAAAGAAGCTGTGGTGCATATACACAATGAGACATTACCCAGCCATAAGAAGGAACACATTTGAGTCAGTTCTAATGAGGCGGATGAACCTAGAGCCTATTACGCAAAGTGAAGTAAGTCAGAAAGAGAAAAACAAGTATCGTATATTAGCACACATATACGGAATCTAGAAAGAGGTACTGATGAACCTCTGTGCGGGGCAGCAGTGGAGATGCAGACAGAGAGAGCAGATTTATGGACACAGGGGTAGGGAGGAAGGAGAAGGTGGGACAAGTGGAAACATGGACACTACCGTGTGAAAAATAGCCCATGGGAATTTGCCGTATGAGCTCAAACTGGGGCTCTGTGACAACCTAGAAGGGTGAGATGGGCTGGGAGGTGGGGCGGAGGTTCAGAGGGAGGGGACATACATATATCTGTGGCTGATTCATGTTGGTGTATGGCAGAAACCAATACTGTGGAGCAATTACCTTGCAGTTAAAGAATAAATGAATTAAAAAAATATCCTCAGACATTTCAAAATGTCCCCTGGGAAACCCAATCTCCCCTGGTTGAGAATCACTGGTATAGAGGAAGAAGAACCAGCAAAACCCTGGTATCAAGACAGAACAATGATCATTTAACCATCTGGACTTTAGGTTCTCCATCTATAAATCAGCACTAACATTACCTACACCCCAGGGATCTTGGAGGATGTCCTAGTTTGGATTCCCCAGAAGCAGATCCTGAGGCAAGGATTTTAAGAGCAAGTCCTTTATCTGGAATAGGATCACAGGAAATACCCCAGGGTATTAAGACAGAAATAGAAGGCAGTCAATAAACAAATCAACCCTGAATATTCATTGGAAGGACTGTTGCTGAAGCTCTAATACTCTGGCCACTTGATGCACAGAGTTGACTCACTGGAAAAGACCCTGAGGCTGGGAAACATTGAGGGCAGGAGGAGAAGGGGGCGACAGAGGATGAGATGGTTGGATGGCATCACTGACTCAACGGACATGACTTTGAGTGAACTCTGGGAGACGGTGAAGTTCAGGGGAGCCTGGTGTGCTGCAGTCCATGGGGTCACAAAGAGTCCGACATGACTTAGTGACTGAACGACAAACAACAACAGCCTTTGTCTGGAATAGGACTGCAGGAAACACCAGGATATCAAGACAGAAATAGGAGGCAGTCAATAAAGGGTGTGTTTATCAAGTCAACATCCACCATGGTAACTGGAACTGGGTCCCTCTGAGGAACTCCATGAGCAAATGTAGATTACACCTGGGATTATCCGAACCAAGTGATGAGGAAGCTGGAGTATTTGTCCACCAAATTTTCATCTGATATGGATTCAGGGCTGCTTCTGCAGCAGTAACCCTTTGGCATGTCTGGCTTGCCCTTAGAGACCAAATGTGCTTCCACAGCCAGTTAGGAGCCCTGAGTGAGCAAACTGCAGCACGCTGAGTGCAGAGAAGGTATGATGTGCCTGACAGCATCTGCTCCGGGGGCGTGAAATGAGGTGACGTGTAACACAGGTCGGCGCCTGGCACAAAACATGGTACACAGTCAATGTTAACCATCCATGCCCCATAGTGGCTTATTACACCCAGAGCTGAGCTGCCCAAGCATATGAAGAAAAACCCAGTATGTGGAGTTTAAATATCAAATGGTTCAAGAGAAATCACAAAAGTAGTTAGGAATGGGTAATCTCCCCATGTCCTTTTTCAGTATGGTCAGAAGTTTGAGTCAGTGGGCAAAATACTACAATCGCATGCCTTCACAAACCTTCCAGTAAAACCCAATTTGCTAATTAATTTGCATCCTAAAACCAAATACTATCTTTTTCCAGTGTTCCATCAACCATCTTCATGAGGCAGAAATTATCAAGGAGGGAAATTATTCCACCAAAGGCATCTGTGATCTGAATTACTGCCTCTCACTTTATTTACATTTTCATGTTGCTGGACTCAATCAGGCTGGCAGGTCAGTTTGTGGCAATACGATTCTTCCCAACATTTGCAATGAAAGGCAACATTGAGAGCATCAGAAAATGTCAGATTTATAAGCTCATCCAGTTACCCCCTCCTCCTCATTGTTTTCTAAAGCAGGGACAGGGGACTCTGAAAGGTTAAGGTGACCCAGTTCTTCTGAGGCAGACCTGAGATGCAAAGCAAGGACTCTTGACTCCCAGCTACTGCCATTTTCTATCATGCCGTGTTGTCTACTTATTTTGACATTTCGAGCTAAGTGGACTTTTAAGTTGCCGTCTAAAATAGACACATTACTGACATGCTCGCTTGGAGGTCAACATTTTAGAACATGGTCATGAACCTGAGACTCTAGATGGGCTGTTCTTCTCTGCTCTAAGAATAGCTTTGGTATTTTGGTTAATTTCTTTTAAAAATTTTTATTTATTTATTTTTGGCTGCATTGGGTCTTTGTTGCTGCATTCGGGCTTTCTCTAGCTGTGGCTAGCGGGGGCTACCCTCCAGCTGCAGTGTGAGGGCTTCTCATTGGGGCGGCCTCGCTGGGTGCAGAGCCTGGGCGCCCGGGCGTGCAGGATTCAGCAGTCGCACCTGTGGGCTCAGCAGTTTTGGCACGTGGGCTCTAGAGAGCGGACTCAGCGGCTGAGACACACGGGCTCAGTAGCCCCGAGGCCACTTGGTTTCCCCTTAGCTGCCCCAACCAGGGGCCAAACCCGTGTCCCCTGCATTGGCAGGCAGGTTCTTAATTACTCAACTACCAAGGAGTTGGCTCATTTCTGTATCTCCTCATTTTAGAGAACAAAAACAGGGTTATCCTTCCTGTGCGTGCGTCCTGAGCTGCCTCGGTCGCGTCCGACTCTGTGTGACCCTGTGGGCTGTAGCCCACCAGAGTGTAAATATCAGCAACCAACGTGACGATCCTTGAAAATTCGACGAGTACCGTTAGTATTGCTGGGGTGGGAGCTTAGAGCTGGTGCTCATAGCTGTGTAGTCCCTCCTGCCTTCCGTCCTTAAACAAGTGAGCGAAAATCACTCAGTCATGTCCGACTCTTTGCGACCCCATGGACTATAGCCTGCCAGGCTCCTCTGTCCACGGAATTCTCCAGGCCAGAATACTGGAGTGGGTAGCCATGCCTTTCTCCAGGGGACCTTCCCAACCCAGGGATGGAACCCAGGTCTCCCTGCAGGCGGATTCTTTGCCATTTGAGCCACCGGGAAGCCCTTAGGCAAATCTGACATTTATCCACTCCACTCCTTTGCAGATTCCTACTATATGCTACCTCATCACACTGTGTAGTAGATGCTGGAGCGGCAGGTTCCTGATACACCTTCATCTCTCTAGCCCCACCGAGGCCCACAGTTGTGTATTGAACTACATCTTAGCAGCCGTCTTCACCCGGCTCTCCAGAAACCACACATCAGACTCAAGCAATCCAAAACATAACTCATGGCTCTCTCCAAATGAGTTACTCCTTGTAGGAACTTGCGAGGGCTGCCGTCATGAAATGCCACAGACTGGGCAGCTTAACCAACAGGACTTTGCTGTTTCACGGTTCTGAGGCTGGAGGTCTGAACTCAGAGTGTCAGCTCCTTCCAATGACCGTGAGGGAGGGAGCAGACCCAGGCCTCCCTCCCCGCTTGCAGATGGCGGTCTTCTCCCTGGGTATCCTCACACTGGTCTTCTCTCTCTGTGCCCGTCTATGCCCACAGACCCCCTTCTTGTAAGGATAGCAGTCTTGTGGGTTTAAGGCTTACCCTCATGACTGCATTGTAACTCGATGACCTCTGTGAAGATCCTGCCTCCAAACAAGGGCACATTTTGAGGTGCTGGGCTTTAGGAGTTTAATTTATGAACTGGACGATGGCAGAGGGACATGATCCAACCCCAAACACTCCTCCCACTGCATTTCCGGCCTCAGTGGATGGAGCGGCACCATTCACGCATTGCTAAAGACAGGAAGCGTGGAGTCGTGCTGAACCCCTCTTCCAGTTGGCACAGATGTTGCTTCCACTCACCATTTCTTGTGACTGCCACTTCCTCCCCTGGACTATGACAACACCCCTCTCACCAGCCTTGCTGTTTCCACGTGGACTTCACAGTGTGAAGGGTGATTTTCCTCAAACACACCACTGAACATTTCCTCATGGGCTGCAAGGCTTCCCAAAGCCTGTCTCGCCTTCTGGATGAAATGCACACCGTTTACTTGACCGCACAAGGCCAGCCCCCCGGGATCTGCCCCAGTCACCTCACTAAGAGACAGCCGCCGCCTTGCCAATATCCACTCCCTAGCTACACACACTTGAGCCATCACTGACAGTGGCCCTGACCCCCATCCCAGGCGTTCTCAGAACAAGCCTTCAACCTTCTTTTACTGAGGAAGGAGCTGAGGTTCCCGGAGGTCAGGGGCCTGGGCCAAGGCCACCAGGGTGCGATGTG